GGGGGCGGGGGAGCAGCGTTCCGCGGGACAAAGGGTGGCGCGGGGACCGCCACTTCCGCCCCATTCATTTGTGGTATTCTTTAGCGGGCGAGGGAGGGAAATCCAAATCCGAGCCGGATCCGGAGCCAGAATCAGAGCTTGAAGCGTTTGGCTGGAGCAGCCATCCCGGCCGATGTGAGAGAGACTACTGACTACTGACCTGAAATGTGGCCGAAGCACTGGTAGAGGGTGGCCATGCAGAAGCCCGCTGCCAGCGCGGTGGCCAGCAGCGCGCCGTTGTTGTGCGTGGCCCCGGACGCACCCGCGCCCCCGGAGGCGCCCGCGCCCGCGCCGCACACGACGAACACCAGGAAGAAGGTGGCCAGGCACTCGGAGATGGTGGCGCGCCAGAACTCCAGGGTGCGCAGCTCGGCCTGCACCGTGGGCCGCGGCGCCGGGTAGGGGCTGCTGCCGCTGCCGCCGCGCCGCAGCGCGTCCACGCGCTCCAGCAGCGCCACCACGGCGTACTCCACGGACTGGGGGTCCGCCATCTGGCCCACCATGACGACGACGACGATGAAGGGTTCACAAAACGAGCAGCACTGTCCTCGCGCACTACCTCACACACACGACACACGCACACACACACGCTGCACTATCACTGAGCTGTTGAGCCTGTCATCTTGCAGTCCGTATCCTCCGATGCACTCACACTCACTCACTCGGACGCTCTCCCCGCGAACACGTCCGTCCCTTCCCTTCCCGACCCTAGACGTCACACACGACGTCCTCTCCAGAACAGCCTCACTGACTGAGTGAGCGAGCGAGCGGCGGCGGCGGCGGCGAGCCGAGCGGGAGCAAGCCGGCCGGGCGCCCCCTCCACTCCGCGCCGCCGCCGCGACTACCCCCTCCCCTCCATATCCCGTCCCCGCCCTGCGTCTCCCCGCCTCCCCTCTGCACCCTGCCTGCAGCCCTTGCCCTGCACCTTCCATGCAGTTCGGGGATGTGCAAGTGCTGCTGCTTCTAAGGCAAATACAGGGGTGGTGTGGGTGTTCTATTTCTGGTTTATGCTACTGCACCGGATGCACGGGTGCGTACGGGTTGCATACTCGCACGGGGCCGTAAGCGCCGTTGGTGAGAGTAGCCGCAGGCAAGTCCACACGCTCGCCTGCATGCGGTACAGTATGGCGAGAAAAAAGTACTACGGCTTAGAACGCCCACGAGCTGCAAACTGACTTGACTCGCAGTTATGGAAAAGAAACCCAATTAGTCCATAAAATAATAATCACGAAGAACGTTATCCTGAGAGCTCTCTGTCATTCGTTGCCTTCGCCTAAAAACGGGCGTGATATCAGAGGGGGGGGGGGGGTGATGATTGATTCATGTTGGTTTCGCTTCTCCCATGTTAATTAGATCCTTTATAATCCGCTCAACCAACACAAATTAAATGCGCCTTTGGCTATTGTCTCTCTCGGCTTGGCTCGGCCACGGCGGCGCCTGCTGATGTCCCGTCTCGAGGGAGTCGGCTAGGCAACCTGCTACAGTGTGCTCAAAGGGTTTTCAGGTTTTTCAGCCAACTGACCCATACTTACATTTTTGCGCACCAATGTTCGTGTGTTTCGGTAAGAAAAGCGTAAGACCCTGGCCACCCTGAGGACCACCCACCCACCACATAATGCTCAGCTCGTAAACAAACCGCGGCTCTGATTTGCCCGGCAGTTTGGGGAGGGAGGGAGGAAGAAGCCCTGCTGATGCTGAATGAGAAGGAAAACGAGGTAAGCCATTTATCCTCGAAAAAAAATGGTTTTAGGGCCAGACCAGTCGGCGCACTGCAAGTGAATATGCATCTGCGGTGGGGAGGAGAGGGGAGGGG